ATTTATACTGGGACTCCATTACAGCAAGACTAAGCCTACTCTCTTATTCTGCATGAACCCAAACCCTTCCCTCTTCCCTCTCGACTGACACGGCGCTCCAACGAAAACCTCTGCTGCAGCCCGGCTCGAGAACGAGCCCGTTTGAAGCTTTATTAAAAAGGTATGGCTGCTCCCTCCAGGATTGTTTTACACACCCCGTGGTTGCTGGCGTGTGCTAGCGATCGTTTCTGGAAAGAAAAAACAGATGTGGCCTCTTCTCTCTCCTTTACCCACGTCTCTCCTCAGGCCTATATACATTTCCAACTGACTGCTTTTCACAAAGTCACCCGTTATGATGACAGATATATTTCTCAAACATTGTCCGGCCCTGTCAGATGATTGCGGAGTTGTGTGTGCGTGTGGTGGAGGGGCTGGAAATTAGCTCATGCACAGTCCATTTGCAGCAGCGCTAACACGCCATTTCAGGGCTTTTAATAATGACTTTCAGCAGACACATTTGAATGCTGACTGATCTAATGCTGCAGTGGCTGGATGTAAACAAGGAGATGTCAACATGGCTTAGCCGGATTTGGGTTAATGTGTCAGTCACACCGCCCCCTGCTGGCCAAGTCAGGATATGGTGTCTGGAGCTGGGAAGCGTAGGCCTCAATCACATTACAAGCCTTATTGTTCACTTACAATTTTTTATTTATATAATTTTTCCTGCAGATATGACGTTTGTGCCTTGGTAGTGCACATTCAGGTTTGTAACTGACCCATATTTTGTCAGTAGTGTGAACAGAACTCTGCCCTGACATGAGAAAAGGAGGTGGGGGATGAGGGGGTGGGGCGTGGCTGAGATTTCAGGATTGTTTAAGTGCAACTGCTATGATAAAAAAAGAACTTTACCATAAACATTGTTTTATTTATACATTTTTATTCAATATTTTCAAAATCTGCAGTATCCTAGCACTCTGTAAGTAAACGTTTTCATATTTTGCTATACAGCAATAATTAAATGTGTATAGTAAACATTTTTCATATACTGCTATATAGCAACACCAGCTAATCCTAATGTACTCTACTATATTCAAAGTGACCTAACTAGTACGCTTGATAAAGCCTGCTGGTGTGTTTGGGGTATTTTTGTGAGCTGTCTTATGATGTCAACGCAGCGTTAGCTCACATGTAGCAAATTCATACTTTGGCCTGTTAATGATCTCATATTTCAGAGGATCCGGTGACATTCAGAGGAAAAACATGTGTAGGATAAAATGAGTTTGGAACTATTTTGCTAACCACAGGTAGCAAAAACACAAGCAAATGTCTAATGTTGTTAATACATCAGCTGTTTTTAACCATTAAATCTCCACCAGGACAAAGCCTTTGCTGTCTGAAAAAACATTGCAGCAAGACTAAAGTTTGCTAATGAATATCTGGGTAAGCACCAGGACATCTGGAACAATGTGCTTTGGACAGATGAGTCAAAGACAGAGTTGTTTGGCCACAGAACTTGATCAGAAGAACATCACACCAACTGCAAAGCACGGTGGTGGAAATGTTATGGTTTGGGGCTCCTTTGTTGCCTCAGGGCCTGGTCAACTTTCAATCATAGAACTAACTATGAATTCTCTTTCATACCAGAAAGTGCTTGAGGAGACTGTGAGACCATCTGTAAAAAAGTTGAAGCTGAAGAAGTGGACATTCCAACAGGATAATGATCCCAAACATACAAGTAAATCAACCAAAGAGTCACTCAAAAGGGAGAAACGGAGGGATATGGGGAAAGCCCAGATCTGAATCCCTTTCAAATGCTGTGGGGGATTTGAAACAGGCTGTATATGCAAAACATTTTTTCCCAGAAACTGGCGGACAGTTAGGAAACACCTACCTAAAGCTGTTTCTGCCAAAGGGGGCAGTACCAGTTGTGGAAGCCAGGGGTGTTATTTACCTTTTCAACAGATAAAAATGACGACACCTCAGTTTTTTTTTATTATTGCAAAGATGAATTTCCATTGTTTTTTCTTCTATTCCACAATGATTGTCTATTAATACTTTTAAGGAAAAGATCAAATACTGAGCTTGGGCGCCCCTGTTCAAATTCCATACGTTGTTCATTTGAAAAGTTAAGACATCTTTCACAGACAACACACTTCTGTACATTTTAATGCTGTTTATTTGCTTATTTGCTGTTTATATGTAACCTATTGGAAAAAATAGAACATAAAATGTGGCCTATGGAAAAATTGATGGCAGATTCATGTGTCAAAAAGAAAAACATTTCATAGAGTGCACTTACTTCTTCACATGACAGTATATGCTGCTTAAAATTCCCAACTTGAAACGCCTTCCAATGTCCCTACCTGCTTGCATGCACATTTCATCATTAGCTGCTATCAATAGCCACTGCCTACATGCTACCAGTACTGGATCTAGTGTGATGTAAACAAGCAAACCAAAAATATGTATTATTATCCAGTTATTCTTATTACGATTGCATGGCCATGTATTAGATATGTATCCGATCTATGACTAAATTAGAAATTGCCTTAAACCCAATTCGTGAAAACATCTGCTCCATATCATATGTCAGTGTGATACAACTCTGTAATGTGAATGAGCATACGTTAAATTTACTTTATTCAAATGTGAACATTTTCCACATGAATGAAATATGAACACAGTTTTGTCTTTAAGTTTAATAAATTTCACATCAAACCACTTTTGAAACTTTTGACTTTGTTTACATTGAAGCGATTGAATTCTGAAGAAATCTGGAAAAAACGGTCAAATTCACCTTTAACAACAATAATTTATGTCTTATATTCTGCTGACCTGTGAAATGACCCTCCTTTTCCTATTCAACAGGTGACTCTGCTGCTCAGGTGCTTGCCATCCTAGAGTAGGCCTCACTTTAGCCATGGGGTGGGTGGGGTGGGGGGGTCCGACAGTCGTTTACAAAACCATTGCCCCCCCCCACCCACCCACTCCTGTAACCTCAGAAGTGATGTAATTGGCCTCATAAAGCCTTCAGGAAGAGAGGGGGTGGCTGGGGAGAAATACGACCTGTGACTCAGACGTCTGCCCTTTGCCACTGCAGTAATGGAGAGATGAGTCTCTGCGAGCTGCGCACCGCCTCATTGATTGCACATGACCGTCAGCGTCGAGACAATTCTCATACAGTTATTTATCTACCCGCTGTCCCCCTCAGCTGTGAGAGTGAGTTATGGGTCGAGACCTGTGTCAGTGCAGTCTGGGCATAAATATAGTGAGGCTACAATTCAGCAAGATGGGTCCCAGCATAAAGTAGGCCTCTTTCCTCCCTTGTCACATTGCTGGAGTTAAAGTTGAATTCCATCAATTCTTCTAAATGAGGAATCAATCACAGAGATGTTTACATCTTTGCAATTGAATTATGCAGAAATGTAGAAAAATTTGTGGAATTGCCATTTAATTTTGAAGCAGATTTTTCTTTATTATATGGAAGATTTTCTCTCAAAAATATATGAAAATAAATATCAATAAAATAATTTCTAAATATTAATATTTATAAGTACATACATATATATGTGTGCAAGTGTTTATATATATATATATATATATATATATATATACATATATATGTGTGTGTGTGTGTATACGTATTCATATACAATTATATATTAATAAGTGTGTACGTATATATATATTTAGCATAACAGGACATTCACATTGGTGCCTTTATCGAACATCAAGCCACATGGCTTTGGCAGAGGTGTATACTTTTAAACTGAAGTTTATTCTGACTTCTGTGTGCCCACACTCTTTGATTTGCCCAGTGTCCACATTTTTTTTTTCTTTTTTGTTCTGGACTGGCTCTCTTTTGCCTGGAGTATAGTCATTTCAGGAGCCTCTGCCACAAGTTGTCTGCTGCCCCTAAGCCCATGCATATATGCATAAAACCAGCTGAAACTTTTATAAGTGTGCACCATTAATCTCTGTGCCATTTTTAAAAAGCGGGGAATTAAAGTTTCATTTGTATTTTTCTTTCTCCCCCGCCCTCTCCTTGGCTAGCCCTGTCCACCAGCCGCCTACCCTGGCAGTTAAATATTTATCAGTGCTGAATCACACATTAGAGCATCTATATGCGTCTGCTCCCTGACACAGTCAAAACACAAGCACTCCGCACACAGCAGCCACAGAGCAGGCAGGCCTGCTGTTTAAGGTGGTCTCTCTGTTCCACAGATAAATCGGGCTGAAGGGGAAGACGTAGGCCTAAAGTAGCCTGTGCAAGATTTTGCTGTACATGGACATCCTGAAAATAGCCTGAACCGAATATAGTAGATTCATAAATTATAAATGAATATGATCTAAAGCAGTTACATTTGTTGTTTTTTACTTTTACTTTTTTCAGTCTCTAAAGTGTCATGTATTAGGATATCTGTAACACTAAGTAAAATATTTTAATACACATAAATATGATATAATATGATTATTGTACTTGGTACAATAATGCTAAGTTTATTATTATGCAGCATTTTAAGCACATTTTAAAAAGTAAAAAGGAGAATTATGAATAATGAATGAGTAGTAAAAATAATGAGTGATAAATATTATAATATATATTATAATACTAAGTACAATGTCATATTTAACCATTTTTATTCATTTTTAATTTTACCTTTATTGATTTTAAATCTATATTATTTAAACTATTTATTTCTGTTGATTTTATTCCTCTTTAAACCTTTACGCGTTTATTTACGCAACTTTATACATTAGATTATTTTTATTTATTGTATTAATTTTCTTTTAGACATTTTAATGCACAAGCTTAAAGTCGATTTAGTAGCCAGTAGTTTAGTAGTAGCTTTTTTTTCTACTATTTAAATACCACAACTTTGCACGCTTGAGTCTGTGTGCAGGAGCCCCGCCCCCGCCCCGCGCGCCGAATTCTCGGCTTGTGATTGGCCGCCCGCGCGGTCACTCAGCAGGCGGGAGACTCGCGGAGAGCGAGAGCGGAGGGGGAGCGGACTCGAGTGGGAAAGAAAACGCTGTCGGTCTCCCTCAGAGTGCGGAGCCGCTGAGAGGAAGGCGGCGCACGAGATAAACTCGCCGTAGCTGACAGGAACGGCGCGGAAACACGCAGCCACGGCCTGAACTTCGTGAGTGATGCGGTGTGCCCCCGTCAGCCCTCCGTCGTGGTTTGGCAGCGAGCCGGAGCCCGCAGGACCGCAGAGGAGGAGGAGGCAACTTTCAAACGACAACTTCTCAGTGAGCTCGCGGAGGAGGATGGTGCACGCGGAGTACTCGCGCTGAGCTGAGCTGAGCTCCCCGTGGACCGTTAAAGAGGACAGAAACGTCTCTTTTTTGCTTTCTCTGTGAGGATATTCTGTACGGAGAGGACGCTGCAGCCACACCGGCTAAACCAACTTAGCCCAGCGCGGCGCTGAGTTTTGTGGACCCGCTCACTTCACTTCACTCACTCAGACATGTGGAGTACGGACGGTGTGGTTCGCGAGTGGGTTTTAGTTTTAGGTCCCCGCACGCATGGCTGAATGGGAGTCCGCTGAGTGGTCAGCTTTAGCCGTGTCTTCTCAAGGCTGAGGAAAGTTTTCGCGAGTGGGCAGCTGAAGAATGGATTTGAAAGACAAACAGCTGTATTCTGGGCTCACAGCGACCGACCCACGAGTCAGTAAGAGATGCGTTTAAGGGACGTTTTCTTTCATGGAATGGATTATAGCGGACACTTACGTGAAGTTGGGAACGCCAGTGAGGTTTGAATGAATGTAAACTGCTCCAAAACACTGTAGCACAGCGCCCTTTACTAGCCTCCCTTCACTTGCTGTACAGACTGAGGGCGAAGAATGTGATGGTTCCAGTTCTAACTGTACACGTTAGCACATATCCTTCATAACCACACGGACAGAACTGTTTATCTCTTTTTAAAGAGCCACTTCAGGAACACGCGCTCACTCAAACGCACAGAAAAGAGAGATTGTGGAGTGACACCGAGGCCAGCTCTCACGTTTGAACACAATGGACAAAAACTGCATTGCCTACCAAATGGAGTTGACACTTCTGATGGTTGCCCTCCTGTTTTGGGTCACAGTTTGGGCGGACGACAGCAAGATCATTTCAGATAGATACGCTGTGTACTGGAACAGCACGAATCCCAGGTAAGCAGGGGGGTTTATGGGCCACTTAGTCTAAAGTTTGTTCCCTGGACATCAAGAATTGTTTTGGCTATTAATCATGCAGTGAATAAGTTCAGTACTGAGCTCAGCTTTGCTGTATGAGCCCAAAATGATTGTAGGGTTATTTGCTGTTATGTATTTATTTTATTTCTTTACTCTTCTATGGTTATGCTTAAAATAGAGTCACTGGCAAATCATGATTCACTTCTACTAAGTTGTTTCAGGCTTGACTTACTTTTCAACAGCTCTGGATCCATTTTGTTCAGGTGAATTTTCAAGATTGAGGTGAAATTTTTTGCTTATGGGCTAATAGGCCTACATAGTATGATTACGGTGCGTACAGTTTACCCTTGCTATGATATGGTTCTCTGACCCATATATTCTGCGGTGCTGTAGGTACATGATCATTTTTAGGCCCCAGCTGTTGCACCCTTGGTGATATATTCCCATTACCTTTCTTGGACTACTTTGCACCCTGTTGCACTCATTTATTGGACATATAGGTGTTCATAATCATGTATTAAAGACTAACAGTGTTGTGATCTTTTCCCATTTTAAGGTGGTTATTTAACCATCCACTATTTCTTTTTTACATGACTCGTATGAACCAGTATTTTTGATTTCTACTTTCATGTCAGCATATGGTTCACATTTTCAGATGAAATGCTAAAGCAGTCCCAACCCCCCTCCCCTCACCACGCTCCGAGTCTTGGGCAAAGTTCCAGTCTGTCATTGGCAGAAGGCAGAGCTTTGTCTGTAGCCTGCAATGCTTCATAGTTTTGAAAGCGTCATCAAACTTATTTCTCACATTTTGGTCCTGCACTGCATGAACTCAGTCTATTTCTGATTGTACTGTTTGGTCCAATACAGTATGTACTGAACATCCAATAGATCAGTAGTTGCATTAAGAGGTAGGAAGCACTGGACACAAGTTTGTGCTGGACTTCGCAATATTCAGAGGTTGTTGCAGTAGCAATATCCAGTAAAGTAGACTCTGTAACCTTGAGGCTGTGCATTTCTTTGTTAGTACAAGTTTTATTATTTATTTTTTAAGTAAAAGGCTATGGCACAAGTGAATAGACCAGTAAAGTGTGACTTTGTATCACGGCCAAAGCTGTGCAAGCCGTTTTGTGGTCCAAGTTTTGTAAAGAGAACAATATGCAGACACCGATGTATAACTTTGTGAATACTTTTGGGTCAAATGCCAAGCTTCTTCAGCAGTTTCATAAATGTTCATAATTCATGGTCAGCATTTAACACCCTACCTTTATGGAAATTTGGCCATAAATTGTACTTTGATAGAACCAAATGATCATTTACTGAGCAAAACACAGGCAAAGCCACAGTAGTTTCACACTCTAAACAGTTTTTCACCTTTGTGATCACTGCTTCTTGTTAAACTTAATGAAAACATAGGGAAGCGTGAGTTATTACCTCAGAGACGGCCATACAACTTACTCTAAATCTATACTTGAGTGTAGTTTTCTCTGCTGAGCTTTCAGGTGAAATCCCATCTAAAGCGGGCGAGGAAGAGTACAGCTGTGTTGTATTTAGCGTAAGTTTCCAGTTCCGAGTGCATTCATTGACACTGCCAGATTTACTTACCAATGAGTAGATCTGTGCTCTGGTTCTTTAATTACAAGTGTATTATGCAGAATTCAGCTTTAGACCAGGACAACTTTTGGACGACTATTTGGTAACAGCTCGTCTCCTGTCCTGATAATGGTTGTTAGACCAGCAATGCTGGCGTGCCCATCGTAAATTCATTTTTTGGTGATTTAAGTCAGCATGATAAAACCCAGTATTACCTTTGAGTGATTTGGGAACATCCTTAAGGAGAATTGGCTGATCACAGCAGCTCTGCGGCTTGCTGAGACTCGTGAGTTTACTAAGGACTAAAGGGTAGAAAACGAGGCCCATTCTTTCTTATATGAGTTACAGCTGCGAGTACATACATGAGGCAAAGTGATACTGTACTTCCGTGCTTCAGCCTGGTTAAACAGTTTCTGAAAAAGTACTGTGCTTTATTTCTAGTGTGGTGATTTTTCTTTTACTTTTATTTACTTACTTTTTAATTCAATTTAATTTTATATATATTTTTTATTAGACCTAATTGTTTCTGAGTACATTTCTGTTTCTGATTCTGCTCTGCAAAGTCTAATAACATATCCTTAATTGTAAATGATTTTAAAAACTTTTTTTTTAATACAAGAACACAAGTATTATACTCTTATTTTTTCCTTACAATGTGTTTCTGGTGAGTTTAAAACACAGTTAGCTCTGTTCTATTATATGGAGCTTCTTTAAATTGCTTTCTTCCAGCATATTTGTAAAATTTTGTTCTATGAGGCTGATATCACCCAGCTACATTAGGCATTATCCAGTGCACCTCAGGTATTTTATATGCGTCATAATTATTTTTTGCATTATTTTAGTTGCAATATCAATGGTTTGAATAGGTGTTTATGGTCTTTTTGTTTTTTAGATTATTCAAGTGATTTTTCTAAATATTTGTCAAGTGTTCAATGAATTGTTAAAATAGAGGACTAAATAACTGAAGAAGAACACAGGATAAAAAAGGTAGGTTTGTAAAAATGCAAGGTCGTGAAATAACTTTTGTTAATTATGGACACTGGTTCAGTTCAACATTTTAGGTCATGGTACCTCAGGTCAAAATTAAAAACCAGTATTTTTGCAGAAATATCGATGTTTGTCATAGTTTATTGCATTTATCAGATTTTATAACAGATTTTTTAACCTAGGCTCACCAGTTCTATTTGGAGTACACTGAAGCGAGGAACTGGGGGTTTGTTGTTGACCTTGACATTGTCGTCTTGATTATCATGATTTTTTTTTGGGAGTCCATCATGGACATCACAGCACTGTAGTTAAACACTTCGAGCCAGTGCATAGTATGGAATTTTTTTGTCTAACAGTTTGACACAGTTAGGGTTGCACAGCCCTCTAGGTGGCGTTACGCTATATTCCGCCTCAACTTACAGTTTTGTCCGCCATTTTCTCAACCTTCTGAGGCTCATGCTTGCCCTTGGAATGGTGTAAGCTGATGTCGAGAAATGGAGTACAGGGTTACATTGGTCTTGACATTGCAGCAGATTCATCTACGTTCCTATAAAAGTTGTGAATTTTGACAGAGCAACACAATTTTCAGCGTAATCATTAGGAAAATATTATAAGATCTGGTGTGCGATGCAAATCAGCAAAATCTTATGCTAGTTTTAAAATAGTGGTGTAAAGAAATGTCCTGAAACGTCCCAATACAGTAACCCCTCTAGACTAAAATATTTCTTACAGTGTAGTATATATAGTTCTTATACATCCCTGTGTCCAGTGTATGTCTGGAAACAGGGATGTTTACACTTCTGTTAGAAGGAGACTTACAATAAGGATAGAGTGCATGTGTAATTCCTTTTTAATATTTTCCTGATGGAAAGAAACTCTCTTCCGAAAGTGGCAAACAGTAATATTTGTTTATCTGGTCAGGGTTGCAGTATTATTTTTTTTATTCAGTTTATTAGTTGGGAAACACTTTAGGGTCATTCTGCCTGTGTGTGCATAAATCAGCTATATCCATGTAACTGCTTGTAATTAATTTATGGCGTCAAGAGGGTGGCAATTTACTGTTTAATTTCTTCTTCATTGTGTGTGAAATCTGCCCCCCCTTGAAATTACACACAAAGCACTAATGAGTGTTCCATCTGTTTGGAACATGACCTCCTATCTTGAAGGTCAGGAAAACAGAGTCAGTTCCCCTTTTTAAGGAGCACTCAGTGAAATAGCATTTTTTAAGTACGCTCGACTTTCTAATCGCCGCCTGTCCCATGACTTATTGCGTCGCTGTCACGAGATCCGAGTTTATCTGGGCGGTTTAATCGAATGACCTGAGCCATTAAATCACTAAAAGTATAATCATTGTTTTTTCCAATGACTCTTCTCCATTAATAAGCAGTTAGCGTGGTATAGGAAAGGCACTTAAACTGACATAGCATGAGACACAGCATATTTGTTAGTTTGAGAATCCGATTAAGCAGGAAAAGTGGTCAGCAGTGTCTACTTGCCAAAGACACTGCATCCTTTGTGATGACCATATGGAGTCACATTGACTGTTCCTTCATTTCTGTGAGATACCAGGCTGTTTCTTTTGGATCACTGTAGGCAATAATGCAGCTGGCCTTAAGGTAAAATAAAGGGGCAGCTTTATGTATTTTACAGTTTAGTTATGATATTTAAATATTATATTTTTTCACTTAATCATATCTGTTGATCGAGTATCTGTGTAAATTGACAGGAAAAACAAAAACAGTACCCACATCGATCATCTCAATATGTCAAAATCGGCTTCATAAAAAATAAAAATAAAATATGAAGCTCAAAGTTCAGAGTTTAGATTGTATTATCGGTGACTGTAAAAGCAAAAGCTGCATCGCTTGTGTTTTATGCAGGTTCATTAACGAACTTTGAGCAAATGTATGTAAATTGGATCACCGATTCAGTCCTTTTTCTCTGGATAAAAAATGGAAAAAGAACAGAAAAAGTGCTATCCAATAGCGAATTTTCTGTTAAGCGTGCCCCAACGTTACATTAAAAGCCTTGCTAACATCTCATTAAAGATTAAAAGTTGGTGCGTGATTTCCACAAAAGCAATTGCTATGAAAGAGGAATTTGCTAATCAGTAATCTAGGTTCAAAGCTTCATTAAATAAAATGACCCAGAGTGAGCATGAGCCCAGAGCTGGTTTCATATGGCAGGACACACCATTTCATTTCCAATGTTAATCAAGGTTATGCTAATACAGGATGGAATAAATGGTTCACAGTCTTCTCTCTCTGTCTGTGTGTCTGTCTGTCTGTCTGTCTGTCTTTCTCTCTCTCTCTCTCTCTCTCTCTCTCTCTCTCTCTCTCTCTCTCTCTCTCCCTGTCCGATGACTGAACAGTCACAAACGATTGCGAATCTCAGGTTTTTTG